TGTCCCCTGAATGCAGTGAATGCCTACCCAATTACCCATGTACTACTACAAGTAGCTTTGTCTCTCAGGTATTGGTGTATAGGTGTGGCTACAATGTAAGGCCTACGTGTGCATACATAGACATGTACATCAGTACTGTCCCGATTCAGATGGTAAATAATAGGACATCAAGTTTTAAATTCTGTTAATTAGTGAGTCTTTGAAATTTTCAAAGACCAAACATAGCTACATTTTAAAAAAGCTGAATTTTTTCCCAGCCAATTATCTGTTTTTTCCTTCAAACTCGATGAGAATCAGAGTGCCTGAGTAACTAAGAGTAATGCCAGTGTTGTATGATCAAAATACAAACATGAAAAACAAACCATTCTATGGACTTGACCACTGCAAGTCACATCACATGGAGTAGGGAAAACGGGGCAGTTGCATCCAATGTGTCAGCAAAGTTCCCAGACCTGTTAGGTTGCTTCTTTCCCTGTTTTTTTTTCTTCTACCCTCTTGTCACCTTCCTGTACATCTGTAATCCTCTTTGGAGGATCCTTGCCCAGATGGGCTGTGAAGAATTCATGCTGGTGTCTTCCCTCGCAGTCACAAATTCTGGAATCCCCATCTTTAAAGATGAGTCGAGGGAGGGGGGGTTGCTCAAAAATTCATGAGACAACAAGTGTTGGCAGCGGCACATCAGAGGGGAGAGGACAGGTTTGGAATCAGGGGATCAGTTTGCAAGATGGCCGTGCCACTTTGTCAACGTCCAAACTGGGAGAAGAGATGGGAAATATTGGAAGGAGGAATTTACATACATGAGTTGTAGACCTGGGTAATTACTCCTGTGTGTGCTCTGGGCATGTACATGTACATAAACCAATATTTACAGTTTAGCCTCTGGTCAGAGCTTTCAAGCTTACGTGTGCTTTACTGACATCATTGGCACTATTTACATGTAAAAATAACTGTTGTTTGAGGTTGCTTGGACTGACTCATATCAGGCCAGAAATTCTGCAGCAAGTACATTTTTGTGCCAAGTAGGCTGTATTGTTGTAAGCAGCAACAGACCTTTAAAATGCATGTAATTTAAGATTCTCTGCCTCCTGTCCCCAGTGCCCTACTACCGGTATTAATTCTTGTTTGTTTAATCTCCCTCATAATCTTGAATTTTTAACCCTAACAGTCCTCAGTCCTCCAACAGGTGAAGGATTGAGGACTGTTAGGGTTAATGAAAGGTTTTAACCCTGCAGACAGAATGGAACATCTTCCGGAAAGTTGCTGAAGATAACGTCATTGTTGTACATGTATGTGCCCAGTAACGGATCAAGTTAAATTGTGCCCTGTAGGTTCATGCAATGGACCTTTCCTGGGAAATGTGCAGACTAGACAGGCACATGCATACTACTACCACTGGTTGGCAAGCGCAGCTGTCAAGACTGTTGGCAGTGTAGGTGAACTGCTGTAACCATTAAACCTTGCGCGTTGAAGGTTCATCCAGACTGTTTTACATCCCGTTTCCGATACTTCAGCACACTTTTCTCGAAACTAAATGGAGTCACCAGTGTCCTGAGGTCGGAAAGTAACAATTTCTTGTCTTTAAATTTGGTATTCATGTCAAACCATACTGGTACAGAAATGATGTGTACATGTACATGTATGGGCTAATACTTATGTGCACATGGAGATTTGTATTGTCACGTCATTGATTTAAGCAACTTTGCCAACCAATTGTAGTAGCGTGCATGCGCTTGCCTTAAATGCATACCTGTATTTCATGGAAAGGTCCATTGTGTGGTAAGTAATTTCCTACTGTACCGGTACATTTACATGTACATTTTTTTCTCTTTGACCAAGGGTTTTGTCTACAAAGCTGACATCTATTTCACAAAGATGAATTCTGTACATGCTGTAAAACTTTCCCCTGTTTGCGCGACCCTCTCAGAGAGAAACAAGTTTTGCTTACAATCAGAGCAGGCAGTTTTCTAAGTTTATGTGGATGTTAGACTCATTGGTTGAGTGTGATGTGTTTGATTTTCAGTCCTGTCAAACGAGATTCAAGTTGAACCGTGTCTTGTGAATTTTTCTCTAAGCCAGAACAAGGGAAGCTAGAAGTAGTACCGGTGCATGTCCATTCAGTGCTGGATAATTTGTATGTACCGCGACATGTACATGTGTTACTGCATCCCTAACATGCTTCCGCAGTTGTGGCGACAATTACAATATCATGCCTGTTGTACACATGCTGTATTTCACTGTAGACACGAAATTTGGATGTGGCCCGAGTTTGATCAAGTTTGGATTAGTGTGCCAAGCATAACCTAGCATGAACCACAAGAGGGCGCTGTTTTAACAGGGATGTGTATGTTTTCTTTTGCATGTGCACAAGTACACATGTTATAACAAGAAACCCCCTTTAATTAAAAAAGAATTGGCAATACAAAGTGGATTGTAAAGACACACATAGCCTACAATGATGTAGAGTTTACTGTGTCATTATTAAAGATGATCATTGACCAACATGTAGTTGTACATCATACCGATATAAACCAATGCAGTAATAAAATGTTTCTTAGTTTAGCTCATGAAAATTGGATAACTTGGACATATTTCGAAAATGCATGCCTTCACAGGAATCCATCACAGTCCTTTTGAATCAGTCACAAGTCAGTCATTCAGTATCAAGTCCCTCTATTCTCTAGTCACAATCTACTGGGTATTTCAATGAATTGTGACAGTATCCTTCCTTTGTCATTGTTCCTCCTGTTACCGCTGACAGGACTTATGTAAAGACTTGTGATTGGATTTGACCACAGCATTCGACCATGGTTGATTCCAGAAATTTGGGGTCCAAAAGTGTGATATTTTTGTGTCCCTGTTACATCTGACCTTTGTTATTTGACATGGAAATATCACCGGAATTGATTTCAAACTATTACTGCTTGTTTGGCAGGTACATGTAATTTCCATTAATTCATAATGCTTGGAAATTAGGAAATGTGTTCTGAACTTCACAAAATCATAGGTCAGATGTGACAGGGACACGAAAGAAATGGACCCCTAATTTCTGGAATTACCCACATGTGTGGTTCTGACGAGAGCACAAGGTTTTGGGTATGTTTGTCTGAGAGTAGTTTTCTTCACCGTGATGGAGACGGTACCTGTCATACTCCTACCACTGAATGGTTTTTTCCAAATGGACAGGATTCTTTGATTTGAGCAAATTGAAAAGGGGGAGATGTGTACAAAAGCAGTATTATTCTGGTTATTGAATAAATGAGTCAATTTATGTTGAGGAAGTAGGCAATCAATTTTTCGTTACTCTTCTGACAAGATTGTATGTGCTGTGATGAGATTAATTTTATAATGCAGGTTGTGTTTCATTAAAATGAATAAATAATGTTTAAGCGGCCTGACAAACCTGAATACGCGTGATCACCAAAAAGAAAAAATCTCAGTCTGGACAGTGTCTGGCAACTGCAAAAAGTCATTAATGTCATCTTTCCCCTCCCCAGCAGACAACGCAACTTTTGCATTATGCACGATATTTTGCTGTCTTGAGAAAAGACTGTGGATGAAAATTTCATGACTGTTTATACTGACCATGTTGTGCATGTTAACAGCCCCAGTGCTCTAGATCATGGATTACCCCAACAATCAATAACTCCCTTTGTGGCATTACACTGCAAGCCATCAAAAACTTCTTTTGTAACTGTGCCTGCTAATCCCTCCTAATCTGTGTAATCGATAAATGAGACCACTGCCCGGGATCACTCACTTTCAGCCGATCCAAAGAAGTTCCTGTGTGAAGTTAGACAAGTGATATTGACATCCTGAGTGCTCACCTTGTACTGTAGCATATGTGTCCCAGTATTTCTTAAAGAATTAGGCAAATTCTATTCAATAGGTGACTGTTAGTGTTAGATCTTGCGGTGAGAACAGCCAGGTCTGTCTCCTGTGCGAGACCGCTACCTTGTCACTAACATTCCTCTTCATTGAAACTCATTCTGGAGAGAACAAAGACCAAATCCCCGCAACATTGCTGAGAGAATACCCTTGATCTGATAAGGGTCTATGTAAATTGAAGCACCTCAAGCCCCTAGTGAGAAAATCTACATTGTGCTACAGTTATTTCTCCAGTTTTTTTGGTGATCTTTGAGCCCAAGCTTCACTGAAACGCTCCCTGATCTTGGTGAGGCTACTATCCAATCGTATAGTTTCTAGCATTCAATTCTAATTTAGTTTCTTAACCAACATCCTCAAAATAAATTGTAATAAATAATTTCATTTCAATATTTCAACTATCCCTTTTTCTCATTCCAGCTCCATGATTTTTAAATTTACAAATGTAGACACTGCAAGGAGCAGTGTTTAAATCTAAGGACGTACATTTTCCTGGTGAGGACCATATTCCAGGGGGTGCTTTTGCCCTGCTTTGTATTTTAATACCTTCAGGTACATGTACTTGTACTGTTGCTGATGGCCTCCAGTCCTTTGACATCCTTGTACATGCATTAGACAGTACAGCAGTCTGACAGTATTTTTTGTTTTGTTGGCTTGTATGTAACAAACTCAGTGATGAACAAGTGTGAAATTAAGGGCTTCAGGTGGGAGACATCTGTCAGGTTTGGTCACAGGTTCTAAGGTTAAAAGAAAGGATTGGAAACAAAATTAAGAATAGGCACTCAGTACTGGATATTATGCACCAGCTGCATAATTTTGACCAGCGCCCTTTGAACATTGATTTGCAGTAGAAATTCCATTTTCATCCACCCCACCATTTTATGCACTCGTGAATGATTGAGAACTATAGAGTACCGAAGTGAATATGTCACATGCACAGTTATGTGTGCAAAAGGCATTTGCGCGAGAATCAGCATGAGAACCAATGCACACAAGTTCTCCGTTCATTTGTACGGCATTTATTGGTTCTAAATGGTGTCACACTTCAGTACTCTATACTGTTGAAGCACATATAATTTCAGCAGTCAGTTTCACAGGTTTTTTTGGGCTCCTTACAGGTATGAGAAGTACACCTCATTGGCTCAGCAGTCCAAACTGAACCAGTGCCATCGTGAGGTAGGTCAACTCAAGAGTGCCCTGGAGAGAAGCGATACCTACATCGAGGAGCTGGAGACTCAGTTGGAATACTACAGGTCTCTGTTTGGTTCCCTTCCGCATAAAAGACCCCGTCAGGGGGAGGAACCTGTCGCAAAATCTTTGAAAACATCAATTGAAGGAACTCAAAGTGTAACTTCTCTACCATCTGAGGCAGTTTCTACTTTCAGGAGGATGGGTAATTGTCAGGCTGACCCCAATAAGTTTGGTCCATTTACATCACCAGGTGGAAATCTGACTCATCACAGACCTCTGGCAACCATGGATGGGGGTACCATTTCCAGTGGATCAAGACACCTACTATTTGATGCGATCAGTAAAGATTCTGATAAGTTCCAATTAGCATTCTTCAAGAAGAATGCTACCACACATTCACACACAGGAGGGCATTCCGCGGATGAATCTCAAAGTTCAACAAGTTACAAGGAAGCACATCATATGCTTGTAAGTCCCAAGTCTGGTGTTAATTCAGTGGAAGAGGATACCACCAACGTTGATAAACGGCAGCTAGCCAGTGATGAAGACTCAGACCTGGAAGAGCCCAGCGCAGTTAGAACCACCCCATCCACAGCTTTAGGAAAATTGTCCTTGGATTCCACTAAGCGATCTCATGGACCATTATTCTCCAGTGAAAACCTTGACTCCAAGTTTCAAATTTCACCATCTTGCCACCGTCAGCTGAACTTCGGTGAGGACTCCCCTGGAAATGCAGCTGTGCTGTCCTCACTCGGCACGGCCGAATCTCACGGTCTAATGCTTGAGGACAACAAGGTGGATATGGGCCCCCTTGATCACAATGCTACCTTCTCCGATCTGGACTTTACGCTGACTTCAGAGATTTCAGATTGTGCCAAGCTCATGAAGGAAGCAGAGAAGAGAGTGACTCAGAAATGGCTAAGCAATCAAGAGGGAGAGACAGGCTCCCCAAATTTATCAATAAAAAACAACCTGAAGCATTTGAAGTCCTACACACCCACCAGAAGTGGTGATCCTTCAAAGAGAAACAAACAGCACTTTGCACCAGTTTGCATCTCTGCTCCCGGTTTGGGGCATGGTGATCAGCCAACAGGCTTGACTTATCACTGCAACCCTCAGTCCAAGTCTCAAAATCTGAAGATGGATTTTGATTCAGGAGGAACGTTTACTAAGGTCACATGGTCTAAGAGCCGACCAGACTACAAATTCATGCCAAAGACAGCCTCTGCTGAACCTCAGGAACCGGCCACCCACAAGAATGGCGTTCATATTAGGGCTTCTCAATCCACAGAGAAGTCAGCTAATTGCCCACTTCAGTCTTCCACTCTAGCGTCCAATTCCACATTATCGACTCATACTCTCACCAGACTGGCAGTGAAAAGTCAGTCTCCAGTCGCGGCTAACTCAAAAGGGGAAGTGCTGAGTGGCTCCAAACCGATCATCAAACCACAGCTGATGAGACTCAGACACAACACGGATCCCACTGACTCCAAGACTTGCGCAATTGGCCTCAGAACACTGAGCAGATTGAAATCGGATGGAGACTGTCACCAGGACACCCTTGATTCCTTGAGAGATGATATGAGAGCCAAAGCTGCAGCTGTTGTGAATAGACCAGGGAGATGTGCCAGCTCGTCGTTGGCTGCAGGCGAATTGGAAATGAGGTCATTCTCTCAAAGCCGGGATAGGGGATTGGGAAATGAGCCCCTCAAAAGAATCCGGTCAGATAACGTTTCCGAGGATGATTATGGTAGTAGTCAATCACCTACCTTCTGAAATGAAATAGTCATCATCGGAGTCATGGTGTAAGGCTATTTAATCCTATTAAGCTGAACAGTTGTTGAGGAAAGTTTTTTATGTTAAATTCTCCCTTCTGAATACAAAAAGTCTCATTAATAAGTAATAAAACTGTGGCAAATTAATAAGATTAATTTTTGTTGATTTCCAATGAAAGCAGATAGGAATTAATACGCATCTAAAGGAATATTTTCATGAATTTGTCAAAGCTTATTTATACGTGATGAACAGGCTAAATTATCAGGCATTATCAAAGTTTACGATGAAGTGAAACTTTGCCTTCGTTTAGGCCTACAGAGCGCAGCATTTCAGTTGTAAAATGTAACAAACTATCCCGATACTTGAGATTCAGAAACAAAAAATATAAAAATTAACTGAACATGTGAGAAATGTCAGTTATTGTTTCAAATTTCTGGTCTGTTCGGCAAGTGTACTGTTTATGTTCATACCACAGGTGTCTGACTGCTAAATTCTCGCTTGGACCTGCATCTCTTATTGTGTATACTCCAGGTCTGGAACACTCACAGGCATCCTACGTACACGGTTTTGACCAATCGGAATATGGGATCATTGAAGCCCCAGCGAGCACCGCGTCAGCTTGTAGAATTGCATAATTGCACAAAATGAGAAGAATCTTATGAAGGCGTGTTAGTACAGCGCATATCAGCATCGACGGACTCTCAATATACTCATGTTATTATCCACGCTCAATATAGGGTCAAGAACATTCCTGAAGCTATCGCTCCTCCCTCGGCGGTTTTTTTCTCATTAGTTGCTCTTGTAGGACTTCCTCCAATCCCGAGGAAGCGGACTTCTTGAGCCGGTTCTTGGGCTCAGCAGGCCAGTGGAGGTTTTTCCCTAGCTTTGCTACCCCCCTCCAAAGCACTGCCTACACTTGCATGTTTGTCGGTGTCCTGTCGTAGAGAAAGGGGTAAAGTACGTTTATCTCTTCTTCTACGAGGGGTCGGGCACTGCGTTTCACCGGTGTACAGGTGTGTTCTGCCGGCGATAGGTTGGTGATGATTTTAGAGACTGTCACTCATTAGAAAAGATGAAATTGATGATTAACATTATACTGTGCCTTCATTTCAATAAGTACAAATAAAACCATTTTCTAAAAAAGGGGGACTGCCTATTAGGCGGATGATATTTGCAAAGATGTGTTTAGCGTTCTGAATATGCTGAAAGCTAAGCTTCTCCATCAAAAATGGAAACGGTATCCGTAGAGCCTGTTATCATCGTCGTGTATTTTGTCCAACTCATCCACAGTCTGGACTTCCTTTAAATTGAACGTTGTTAATGACTTTGAAGTTAATTGCACTTTTGTAATGCAAAGCAATGGCTCGAGCTTCTTTTCTTCTCGGTTTTTTTTTTCAAACTTTGATAATTTTGTTCTTAATAATAACGTTGGGTTCTCTTCGCCCCGAGCCCGTCACAGCCTGGTAGTGAAGCTGAATACGCCATGTGCCGTGTGCGCAGGGCGTAATCCCAGTCATATCAGTTCTAGATTAAAGCGTCGTAAACGCGCAATCAATTATGGAGTGGGGCAGAGGGGGCCGGGCACAGTCGAGCCCGCATGGCAGGTGCGCACCCGCGCCTCGCGCACTTCATTTTCATTCCATTAAATTACACGCGTGACCTGGGTGAACGAGCTCGGCTACGGCGGGACCGCGGTGCGCAGCCGACCCCGTCGAGGGAGCGAGTGAGTGAGCGAGTTGTACACGCTGCATGGCTGCGTTTTGCCCCCCTAGCATTCAAGTCGCATCTCGCGAGGGAATTGGTTCCAATTCGGCTGTGAGATTCAAGCCAAATTTCCGGTGAGGTTTTTGGGCCGCCTGTCTCCGGATTTCTTGTAGTCTCTTGTCGAGATCGGCTTGGCTTACTCTGACTCACTCCGAGTTGTTTGAAACACGGGAAAAATCTTGACTTTTCTGTACCTGTGCCAACTTCTCACAGAAGAGTTAAAAGGTTCAAGAAGTAAGGATATAAAAGTATTTAAAGTTGGATTTTGCAGTAGAATACGGAAGCTGTACATCGAGTGTTCATGCATGCATAGGCCTACATGATCACACGTTCGGTAATAGGTTAATTTTCCCGGGCTTTTCTATAAAATTCCAGTGTGCCTTCTGTGTTACTGTGGTTCGCATAGCCAGAATGACTTAAAGTTTGTATAGTAATACACGTGAATTGGCTGTTTCTTTGGAGCAAAGAGAAAAAATAATTTTAAGAGTTCTAATTGGCTTCAGTGTATTAATATCGGTGGGTGTACATGTGCCACTGCGATCACAGGGAAGATTAAACCCAGACCGACTTCCAAGTACTACCGCCCAAGTCCCCACCAATTCCCCCGCCTGATCTGGGATTCATCCCGACCCTCGCCGGCCTGACACTGATGGATGGTTTCATTACAACTTGGTAATTGTTCACACCATCCGAGCTTGCACCGTGATCTTCGCCCGTGGATGGACCCGTCTCGCTCTGGGATTTGATGGGGCTAGCTGTCGCTCTGGCTGAGCCGGTCGCGCGGACCTGCGCGTGGGTCGCCCGTGGCCCACGGGTGATGTTGTCTTAGTCAACGGTGGGCCACTGCAAACATTCAAAGGAGCATGCCGGAAGGGGGTGCGTTATCTAATGAAAAGTTGGGCGAAAACTTTTGGTTGAAGTTATAACCAAACGTTCTTCAGCGTTGAACATGCACTGGAGCGGTATTCCCCTCATCCTAACTGCAGTTTTGTTTAGGGCAATTAAATTTCAATTTTTTTTAATATTGTAGTCCCCGTTCTCCCCAGTATACGGCCCTTTTGGGGGTGGGGTTGGGGTGGAGGGGCCATTTCATTAGTCAGAAATGATAAATTGCAAACTCATCGATCATCCACACAAAAGGAGTGTCCAAGTCGGACAACAGGAATGAATGAGTTACGTTTGTTTAGGCAGTCAAGCATGGCGCTATCTTTCATGTCACGTACACCATTCGCTGCTGTCCGATGCTCTTTGATCTGTGGAGCAGTTTGGCCTGTTTTTGTTTGATCCTCCACAAATGCGAGTGAATGAACTCCCTACAGACCTCGAGTCACCCAGTCGTTTTTAATTTTCCCTTTGTGTGCTTCTTTCGTGGATATTTATGCTTGTTTCTCTCTGGTCAACAATCGAAATTTCTGGTATTGTAATTTTGTGTAATTGTCTATTTTTACTATCCGTGCTCATGTCAACATTTAATGTGGATTTCAAATTTTGAAGAAAAAAAAAGAGGGCTTCATTTTTCTATCTACTTGTCCGTATCACACCGCCAAAGAGCTGGGAAAAATGCAGCCTGAAGTCGTAGTTTTATAAATCTTGATGACACTGTAATACAGTTGGTTACGTTGACTGAATGAACTAGCGGGGGGAACTGTCGCTGTACCGGCGACGAAGGGCTGCGGGGCGAAGTGGCTCAGAAACCGGCGCGTCTCATCTCGCTCCGTGATGAGCCGCCAGCGGGCCGTGCTTAGCGGGCCAAAAACAATATACCGGCCCCTTTTTGCACGAGGGATGAGCCCTAATACTCCCAAATACAGGGGAAATTGTACCGAAAATGGACAATTTGTGTTGGGAGCTATTTGTAGGTAATCCTCACGCTGCAATGGCAGGACCTCAGGCGTGCGGATCCATGCTTCACCCTCCCCGCCGATCCAATCTTCGCGATGAGATCACGGGCGCGCGCCTCGATGCCGACCGCTCGCTTGGAATCGCTTCGCTTTCCCCGTCCGTCCAGCGGCAAATAGCAAACCCCTTCCCATTAAAATGGTGTGATTAACTTGGAAACCACTTTTGGGGAAAGCATCAAGAGAGATTACCGCCTCCCCACAACCACCAGCAAAGGTATATGATACACCCCAGCAGATTGAATGTTAGTATCTCGACCGTCTGTACAAGGGCCATGGTTGTACAAACGTCGCATTACGATGTGCACAAAGGGTCAGTGACCACTCTGCAGCATTTTTACATGTTAATTCAAGCACATGTGCTGTTAATTTAGTAATTTAAGAGTCAATTCAACTTTTTTTCCAGAAAATTTAAATATTAAATGTAACATTGAGAATGTTGGATTAACGGGAAAAGTACTGGATTTAAAGTTTAAGATGCTGGATTTAGCAAATAAAAAAGCTCTATTCGACACCCTAAAACAGTGGTCATGATCCAAACATCATAAGCATCAACGAGTCATGCTTAGAGTGTACCCGAAAGACGCTGCATTGGTATCTTACCCGAATGGGATCGGGATTTAGTTTACGCATTGTGCAGCAATTGAGATACGTGTACATGTATGGGATCGATAGGTTGCCCACGCTCTACCCGAAGCTTCCGGATAACCTGCTCTGGATTCCAACTTAAAATTGAAAGTTTATCAACAATACTGGTTTGTGGTTGCTTCTCAGTCTTGTTTCGAAGGAGCTCATCACAAGTTTCACAATCAACGCCAGTGACTGTGGACATTATCTGCAATACCTTTCTCAGTCAAAGCAAGTCATTAGAAATATAAACCTTGATGTTTGGGGGAAAGTAAACATCAGTAGAAAGGCACTCATTAGTACGGACGCATTTCCTGTCAATTTGACAAGCAGCTATTAAAATAATACAAAGGGAGGGAAAATCAATCACCTCAGTGGCTTTTGGGTTAAAAAATTGAAATTGGTGAAAATTTACAATGTACAATGAATGTTTGGTGTAAAGATCTTGCTTTGGTTTTCTTTTCCAAATATAAAATTTGGAAGGACCGATTTCTAAACGCGCAAATTGTGTGAAAATAAGAGTAGAAAAATAATTTGTGTACGATGTACAACTTAAGCATTTGTCAATTCCAATAGCTTAAGTTGTTGTTAACCATTGATGGATTCGGGGGGGGGGGCGTGGCATAACCTCTCAGAGAGGGGGATGTAGCGAGCAGAGGCGATGGTCCTTTCCCTTCACAAAAAAGTCGGTACATAAAATAGCGCTCAAACTGGGGCTCACCCATGAGAAAACAAAATACTGCGAAAAGAAATTCCCAAATCTCCCCCGCCCCCAGAAGCGTCTCCCCGTTTGGTTCTAGATCCGCCCTGCATAATAATAATAATAATCGGCTATTGGTTGGCTTCCATTTTGCGTAATCATGGCAAGTTTCATTTTTTTGTCACTAAAAATAAATATCAGTTTTACTTTGAAATCTCATATTTCCCCGGAGATGTTTGTTATTATTAAATCTATCACGGGCAGAATACACCTAAAGCAACATGGTAAGATGACATCAAATTTTCAGTAAAACTTCGCTCATTGATTTTATGATCTTTAATGAGAAATTTTCACATTAAAGACTTTGTTTACATTTTAAATCCAGGGTTTATGCTAATTGCTCGCTCAAAGTACCGGT